AATAGAGTGGGACTACAGGGAAATAAACATCTGATCACCACTCCACGGGCTAATAATGGCTTCGTAGAGATCTGTCTCCAGGAGGAAACCCTTCCATCAAACAGACTGTATCGAACAGAAGCATATTCAACAGGACTCTTAAAATATCGTATGGTTTTTTAATATATTACATGTGTATGTCTCTTTTGCTTATTTAGATAATGAGATATTAATTAAATGGTATATTTATACTTCATCCAACCTTTTGAATGCTTATATGTTTCCTCTCTCTCTCTCTCTCTCTTGCATTCTTTAATAGGTGGAGCTAATGTTCTCAAAGCTATAGAACAATGGATTTGTTTAACAGGAATGAGTAAGAGGAGTGTGAGGAAAGAATATTCAATAAATGAATAACAATCTTCTTTGAGATTAAAAATTTGATCATCCTTATTATGTTTAAACAAAAATATTGAATATATGAAAAAAATAAACTTACTTAAATATTTTAATGTATTTCACACCTTATTATTACAAAAATGTTCAATCATTTCATTAACAGTTTAAGAATATAGGAACAATGGTTGCATGCTACTCACATAGATTCTAAAAGTATAGAATTTGCATAGTAATGCTAATTCCACCTCTTTCCAAACCTTATTTAACATTGTTAACCTAACCCACTAAATATGTCTCAATAAGGTCGATGGATAGAATCTTTAGCTCGAGATCTCTGTCGCTGCAAGACTATCTTTCTTTACAAATGCATTTTTAGTTTTGGGTGATAGACCGGAAGAGAAGTTAGTTGTTTATCAAAATGAAGGAGATTCCTACATGTGCATATAATAATTTCATGACATACCTGGATTATGCGGGAATGAAAATGACCTCACTTTATGTCAACAAAGTCTATCAAAAGGCCACCCCCTGGGGTGCCTGGGTGGCTCAGTCAGTTGAGCGGTCAACTTTGGCTCAGGTCATGATCTCACACTCGTGAGTTCGAGCTCCGTGTTGGGCTCTGTGCTCACAGCTTAGAGCCTGGAACCTGCTTCAGATTCTTTCTCCCTTTCTCTCTGCCCCTCCCCAACTCTCTCTCTCTCTCAAAAATAAACATAATATTTTTTTTTTAAAAAGCTGCCCCCTGTGTTTTATCCCACTTGCCTCCAGTTGGCTTTCTTCCTAATTAAATCAAAAGGATAGAAAATGGCCAGATTTTTTTTTTAAGTCATAAAATAAGATCAGATATAACACATTGTGGTGAAAATCTGGTTGGAAAGGACAGAAAAGGGAATATTTTGGACATCCCATTAACTTTTAAGTCCCCATTACTGTCTTTTAAACTGTTGTATATTTTCCTTTGCCATCATACTCTATTTTTGCATACATATTGTACAGTTAACTTTCTCTTCAAGTTTATGCTGATACCAGGACCTTATAACACCCAAAACTGCTATTTTGCTATTATCATCACTTCAAGTTTCTTGCCATGATATTGTAATATTTATTATGCTAATCTAGAAATTGGGGCACAGCATGATTAAGTCATTTGCTCAAGATATGCTGTGAGTAAATAACAGAATTGGGAAAAGTTAATAATCCCTCAGCAATAAGAATCTGAAAAGAATCTATTAATAAAATAAAGAGCCACTTTCTTCTCAATAAATTGTTATGTTTTTAGTACTTCTCTAGAATGTTAAAATGTAAAAAGGAATTTCCTGGTGTAATCTATAAAGATTTAATCAAAGAAATTCAATGGTGGCTGTTTATATTTAAAATAGTAATTTTATTAACAGTATTCCACAGAGGAGCCAAGTATATATCAACAACAACAAGTAAAACTGGCATTGGCTGAAATTCATACATCTCAAAATAAAAAGGAGAGCTAAGGAATGGTCAAATCTCTTGCTGAATCAATGACACTTAGTGATATTTACCTATTCACTACAAAACTGCTGTCCTTGGCTCTCAGTAGGATAATAGCTCATATTATACTGAATGACCTATTAATCCTTCATGATGTAGGTTAAAAAAAGGACAGAAGTTATGCCATTTAAGAGACATACTAAAATGTACTAGAAAATGAGAGATCTAGTGTCTTGTTTTACAATAAAACAGATGGTTGTATTCTCCCGTAGAAGCCAGGAGATCAGAGTGTGATGCTTCTAGAATCCAAGCAATACACAGAGTCCTTAAAATTACACACCAAAACTCATGGGCAACCTAAGCTAGTCTTCAGATCACAGTTTAGGAAATATTGGTCTGGATTCAGAGTACCTAGCTTGAAATCCTAGCTCTGTCCATAGTAAGCTTTGTAAAGAAGGGCAAGTCACTTGACGTTTCTAAGTCTCAGTGTTTTTTTATTAAATAAGGATAATAATTCCAGCTGCCCTTTTAAGATTTTTGTGAGAAGTAAATAAATAATCAGGAGGTCCACATTGTCTCTGTTGCCAGTGCAGTGAAACATGCCTGCATGCAGCTTTTTGTTCCTTATCTAAACAAGTTCCAGGAATGTGTTCCACAGTTTGTTACTCCAGGCTTAAGACCAAAGGAGAGACCTAAAGCCCCTTTTTGGCTGAGGAATTCCATTATAAAAACAGATCACAAAACCTACTTAACTTTTTACACCCTTAAAACACTGGCTACATTAAAAACCTAGAATCAACTAGAAATAAGGATTTATTCCATTTTACAAATTGTACTGCCCTTCTCTTGAACATATAGTAGGTTGCTTTGCAGGAAGTAGGAGGGGGTTAAAATAAGTAAGGACATGGGTGGGCACCATCCTGCAATAGAGGGGCCCATGGATGGCACCCACCAGATGTACTCCAGACTCTGGAGTTAGGTAGACCTGTCTTATAAGTAGAATTTTACAACTTGTTATGAAGACTGAACTATAACAGGTATCTTGGAGTATTCACTCATTTTAAGGCTATTAAACTAAACAGGAAAACAAATCCACATAAGTCTTAATATATTATGTGGGAATGGATGAGTAGGGTTGCAAAGCAAACCTAGGAACAAAGAAATGTCTCCATTGAGAAATGGGCTTTAAGGTGGATGCTGACCTGTTGAATTAATAATGATAGGAATGTTGGCTAGAAATGATTTAATAAAACATTGTAATGGTACCATCCAGTTTTAAATTAGAAGGAAAAAAATGCTGCTATGCTTATTAAATATATTCCATTATGGTTGAGAGCAAAGAGTAATATAACTGATTTATGTTAAGAGTTAAGTAATATTACTGATTATGTTAAGAGTTGAATCTTGTGGAGTGCCTGGGCGGCTCAGTTGGTTAAGCATCCCACTTCAGCTCAGGTCACAATCTCACAGTCAGTGAGTTTTAGCCCTGCGTGAGGCTCTGTGCTGACAGCTCAAAGCCTGGAATCTGCTTTCAATTCTGTGTCCCCTCTCTCTCTCTGCCCCTCCCCTGCTTGCATTCTGTCTCTCTCTCTCCCAAAAACAAATAATATAAAAAAAAAAAAAAAGTTGACTCTTAAGTTGCTCCATGTGAACTTAAAGAATAAGCAGAGAGTAAACTAGAGAAATTAGCCATCACTATTTATTAATTCCCTATCCCAGACAATGACCCGAGGTAACAGACAGCAGACTCACTTCTGATTGGGAAGGCTGACTTTCAAAGACCACATGAAGAGACAGAACCACGGTGACTGATAAACGACTAAGCTGTCTTTATCAGAAGAGGGATGAAGTCCCCTTTGAAGGTGGGATCCTCAGGGGATTCATGCACCAGACTTCACTGACCTAAAGCATGATTGATCAGTGTGGTAGTTTGACCTGTCATTCCTTGATAGTGCTCTGAGACTTCGTGGGAAATACCATTAACTCAAGGCTAACATTCAGCTGTTGGGTAGATTTAAATCCATTCCAGCTGGCAATTTAGCTGCAGCCCTGAGCCATTCCTGCTTGCTCAGGTCCCGAGTTGTCCCAGATGGGTAAAAAGAAGATCTCCTGGGAGACCCATCAGCCAGCAATTTGTAGTTCCCCAATGTGTATACCCTGGCCAAAAATGGGCCAAAGCTCTGAAGAGGGGAGGTGGTACTCCTATTGATGATAAACACCATCCATATGTGAAATGGCTGGTGTCTGTCTCGTCCTCTGAGAATGTGACTAACCCCCATTGGCTGGTGCTTTCCTCCACTATGACCACCTGTGGACAGATGAGCTCTACAGTGTATATATAGTATCTGTCACTATCTTAGCCATTCTGCCTTCATTAACCCCAAAATGCTTTGCTGCTCTGTCCCTACGGGCCCAGAAGGAATGACTGAGAGCCTTTCCTACATGACTCCAGGGAATGAGAAAGATGCTGAGTTACAGAAGTCATCTAAGTTAAACACCCCAGTCTCAGGCTTTAGTCAATTAAGTTAGCTTTTATATTTGTAATAACAGCAAAATATGAGAACATTTTACCAGAGCCCATCCTATCTGCAAGTCTAAATAATTTGGGGTGATGGTGGTTCTCAATTAATAACTTCAGACTGGCCTGAATATTGTGAACGGAAAGAAGAAAGAAATTAAGTATTGAAGGCACCCAGGCTTCTGCCGCACAAACTCTTAACAACTTGAACGTCAATTTTGTACAACTACAAGGCTTGTTACCTCATTTAGTGGCCCAAGTTTAATTTAAGAATCAACTGTCACAGCTTGTTCAACTCTCAGTAATGAGTGGCAATTTACTCAAGAGCCCTGTTATCCAGGAACCTTTCAGTGCACACACCATGAGCAGATCAGGGGAGCTTTAGTATTTTAAAAGTTAAAAATGGCACTATTATATTTTCTTTATGTAAAACTTGGTTGATCTATATTTTCATCATTAACTGTCATTAGTCAAAACAGAGTCAGCCCCTAATTCAGTTCTAAACTCTTCATGTGAATTCATTTTTGTTGTGCTTTAGAAATAAGTGCCAAATTCACCCAAGGACTAGTAACTAAACAAATAGTAAACCCAAGACACAATTTTAAAAGTAGAAAATGGTCAATTAAAAAAAAAGGGACTATACCTGCTGTAAATCCAGTGTAATTGTCACATAATGGTATTCGATTCCATTCTTAATACTGGGACTCTGCCACCAAGTGTTCTTTCCATCAATAGCATTTGTAATCGGGTGTCTCTCTATTGAATCAGCAGCATGTGAAAGGACAAAAAAAAAAGATCATAGAATGAATTTATAGCTGTTTCTTTAAAGAAAAAAAAAAGCAAAACTAAGCTGAAGCCATCATCATGTGACTATCAAACATCGAAATAATATAAAGAGAACAATTCATATCTTCAAGAGAATTTATTTAATGCCAACTTTTTCAGACCACTCTATAAGGTAGTACAAAATGCTTAAATACTTAGGCTATAAAAGAAGCTGTTCAATACTCTAGCCATCAACTAACAGGCAACTTTAAAAATTACTGTAGAGATTAAATGTGGAGAAATAATATTAAAATCTGATGGATATGTCAGTCATTCAAAGAAGTAAAAACTACTGTTTGAGGCAGCTCTACTATGCCATCCACACTGTGGGAAAAAAACCATAAAATTCTGAATTTTAGGTACTTGAAGATTTGTCCTTCTGACACGTTCATTATTACCAAGACTTGGGCAGCCCAATATGTTACCTGGGAGTTTTCTTTTTTTTTTTTTTAAGCTTATTTTTGAGAGAGACAGAGACTGCGTGAGTGGGGGAAGGGCAGAGAGACGGGGAGGGAGAATCCCAAGCAGACTCTGCACTGTCAGCACAGAGCCCAATGTAGGGTTTAAACCCATGAACTGGGAGATCATAACCTGGGCCAAATCCAAAAGTCAGATGCTTAATCAGCTTGCCCAACCCAAGCACCCAGTTACCTGGGCTTAATATAAAAGGCTGTCAAATCCATCCTATGAGTTTTTTTTGTTGCCAGTCCTTAACTTGCCAACTTTCAACCAGTATTTAAAAATATAATGAGGGGCAGGGTGCCTGGGTGGCTCAGTCAGTTGAGTGTCAGACTTTGGATCAGGTCGTGATCTCATGGTTAGGTTTGTGGGGTTCTAGCCCTGCTTCAAGCTCGCTGCTATCAGTGCAGAGCCTGCTTTGGATCCTTTTTCCACCTTTCTCTCTGGCCCTCCCCTGCTCATGCTCTCTCTCTCAAAAATGAAGACTAAAACAATAAAGAATAAAAATGTAATGAAAGATACTCCAAACCTCCCAACTAGCATTTTCCATCCCCATCATCACTAACTCAGCAGAGGAGTCTGGACAATAATGGCAAATGGGAGACAACAGCATCCATGTTTCTCCTACCAACAAAACATGGATCTTTCCTCTCCTTTAGTACCTGTAGATGAGAACAGAACCTACTGTCCTATACTGATGGGACGTCTGGGTGGCTCAGTTGGTAAAGCATCCAGCTCTTGATTTCAGCTCAGGCCATGCCCTCTCAATTGGTGAGTTCAAGCCCTGCATCAGGCTCTGTGCTGACCGCATGGATCTTGCTTGAGAGTCTCTCTCTCTCTCTCTCTCTCTCTCTCTCTCTCTCTCTTTCTCTGCCCTTCCCCCACTCCTGTTCTTTCCCTTTCTGAAAACAAATAAATAAACTTTAAAAATCATTTAAAAATAAGGAAAAGGAAGACTGGAGATAGACGATGGGAGGGGAGGACAATCCCCCCACAGCCCACCCCACCCTCATAGTCCTTTCTTACCATTCCTTTTCTCCATACACTCCTCAAACCTTACATTGTTTTCTCCAATTTAACTCCATGCATCTCACGACAGCAGCCATTACCCCTGAGGTGTCAAATCCCTTATTCTGTTTTGTTTCTTACTCATTGGTTCTTACCTGAAATCTGTTCTCATTTCCAAGTAACACAAGTTCTGTTCTTTTCTCAACAGGTCCAGCTCATTCATAGGTGAGAATGGCAGGAGTGGAGGTGGATGGAGAGGGTCTGATTTTTTTTTTTTAATGTTTATTTTTAAGAGACAGAGAGAACAGAATGTGAATGGGGGAGGAGAAGAGAGAGAGGGAGACATAGAATCTGAAGCAGGCTCCAGGCTCTGAGCTGTCAGCATAGGGCCTGACGTGGGGCTCGAAACCACAAGCTGTGAGATCATGACCTGAGCCGAAGTCAGACGCTTAACCAACTGAGCCACCCAGGCGCCCCACGAGGTTCCTATTTCTATTCCAAGGACTGCACTAAGGGCACTTAACTTCCTAAATCCTCACTTGAAAGTCAGTCTATTTACCTGTAGAAATGTAAATAAACTGGAGGCTAGATTATCTGCTACTCTTCTATACATCATGGATTACACATGCTTTGGAGCGTCAGTCTTGAAAACTTGTTAACACTACTTCTCCGGAGAGATGTTTCAAATAAATAGCCTAAGAATAAACTTCTAGATTAGAATACAATCTTTTTTGGTAAATGGAAGGAATACATCAAATAATGAACAAACCGCATCACTACAAGGAGCAAAGGAGCCATCATAGACCTCCATTTGCCTACAGGGTGTAGCAATCTAGCCATGTAGTCTAATGATAATGGTGATGAAAACAGCATGAGATCTGGCATATAAAGGCTGGAGTATGAGGAGATAAACAGTCCACCTGTATTCCACCTGGCTCCACCTTTTGGTATTCAACAATGGCAACTCACTTAAACCGTGTGCGCAATTCTTGAACTAGGGATAATAGAACTCCACTCACAGCAGTTGCTCTCAAATTAATTTTCAGAAAACAAGGGAAATTTAAAAAATGTGTTTGAGAGGTTTGTGGAACTGATATAGGAGTTCTAGCTCTTTGTTTCTGTGGGTCATGGGAGCCTCCAGTCTACGTTTGCTGTCATTTAATGAACAATGACTATTATTTCATAAAGTAATGAACATTTGAAACCAAAATTTTAAAGAACTATAATTTCAAAATGAAGAACAGTTCTTTATTTTTTTAAAATATTTTTATTTATTTCTAGGAGAGAGAGAGAGAGAGAGAGAGAGAGAGAGACAGCGTGAGCAGGGGAGAGTCAGAGAGAGAGGGAGACACAGACTCTGAAATAGGCTCCAGGCTCTGAGCTGGCAGTCAGCACACAGCCTGACGCGGGGCTCGAACCCACGAACCGCGAGATCATGACCTAAGCGAAAGTCGGACGCTTAACCGACTAAGCCACCCAGGCGCCCCAAGAACAGTTCTTTAAAATGTGCTCATTTTGTTTTCATTAAAAATTTAGGAATTTCTCATTTTCCTATGGCCCAGTGAACATACCTTGGATGAAAACTCTAAACTTACAGGGCTATCAGGGAACATTATAGCTATTAATAGTCTAGCCATTATTATTCATATACATAACATAAAATATACATTTGTTCAAAATGCATACTATTCTGAATCTTAATTACAGGCAAATTGCATTTAATAAAAAATTTGAAAATAACAAAAACTAAGCAAAATGAAATCCTCAATGCAATAGGAATTTGATAATAACGTCAAATCATCCTTAAAACAAAAAATTCATTCCGAACTGAATAGTTATTAAATTTGCCATTTTTAGATTGTGAATACTTTTATATTAATTTGGTTAAAGTAGCCTGCTAAAACTTGTTTAATTAAAACCATAAAGGTTTATGTCCTTGAGTTACTTATGGGACTATCAGAGCAGAGGACAGAATAAAAGTGCTCTATTTTTATTGATAAATTATTTAATTCAGCTAAACAACTGGATGGACTTTGTTTTGTCTCAAGTCTTATCACATTAGCAGTCCACTGAGATGAGGCATCCTATCTCATTAATGAAAAGTAAAACTGCTGAACGTATTTAATAATTAGCACTAGTGAACTTGTTCTGTTGAAGCCAGCAAAGGTGTCAGGTCTTTATAATGACAGCAAATACCATAAGCATAACTAAATATCAAACAAATGCCCTTGTGGTGTCAGTGGGTGCTGAAACTGACACATTAGGAATCAGGGCCATAAATGAAATATTACTAGCATTGCTTCTGAGGAAAAATAAATATCACAGCAAACATCTCCCAAACATCCTCTGGAATCTTCTCTACAGACTGTGGGTTTAGTATGTGTTAGGAAAACACACACACAACCACATTTCCAAGTCAAATTTGTGGCTCAGGTAATTCTGGGAGAAGCTGTCTAATTGGAAATTTTGATATGTGCCACCTCAGGTCAAATTGATACAAGAGTTAGTCACGAAAATGAGGACTGGGAGATGAATCAACAATTAGCCATAATCCCCATTATGAAAGTTTAATCATAATTAATTTGCAAATACTGATTAATTGTTGGCATACTTCCCTTATTTAGAATGAGAGAGAAACTTATAACATCCTCAACAGGGATAGCTATACAAGTAAATCCAAGGGCTAACTGCACCAGAATATTGGCCAGGGAATCATTGATGAGGTAAATCTTTCAAACTGCTAATTTTTAATTGGAAAGCACAATCTATTAACAGGTAGCTCAAGCTTCCTTTTCTTTGTATGGTAATTATGCACAGACCTGCCCGACGTGTTCTAGCAGTTAGATGTATTTGTAAAATTTTAATCATCTGCTGCTTCAACTTTTGCTAAAACACATTTATGTAGTTTACTGCTAGATTTTTATTCTTATAGGGCATTGTTCTTTCCATATTTCTAGTTTCAAAACAGGACTTTGAAATGTAGTGAAGTTGGTAGCTTAAAATTAATCACAGATTAATCCAGATTATGATAGGTTAAAAAACACTTCAGTCAGGGGAACCTGGGTGGCTCAGTGGGTGGAGCTTCCAAACCGCCTTTGGCTCAGGTCATGATCTCATGACTGGTGCGTTTGAGCCCGGCATCAGGCTCTGTGCTGACAGCTCGGAGCCTGGAACCTGCTTCAGATTCTGTCTCCCCTTCTCTCTCGGCCCCTCCCCTACTCACACTCGGTTTGTCTCTCTCAAAAATAAATATTAAAAAAAATGAGGAAATATAAGACATACTTCCGATGCACTTTGCCTTACTAAACCAACCTGTTCACTTCTATCTCAATATAAAATTATGGGATGGGCTTGCTTAAATATGGATGTCTTCCCTGGAAACACAAGAGATACAAACTATATAACTCTGAAGGGGGAAGTGACAGAGTCACTCTCAGACTAGTTTAGCAAATGCATTTCATCCATTTTTCCAACCAAGAGTCTCCACTTGGGGCACCGGGGTGGCTCAGTTAGGTGTCTCACTCCTGATTTTGGCTCAGGGTTCATGGGTTCAAGTCCTGCATTGGGCTCCACGCTGACAGTGCAGAGGCTGCTTGGGATTCTCTCTCTCCCTCTGCCTCTCCTCGCTTAAGTACTCCTTTCTCTCTCAAGAATAATATATATACATGTATGTACATTTTATACACATTATATAATATTATATAGTGTTATTATATAATATTATATAATACATATTATATAGAACATATTATATATGTATTATATAATAGATATTATTATACAATATATATTATTATATGTATATATTATATAATACATATAATAATATATTAATATTAATATATATGTATATTCATTAAAAAAGAGTTTCCCCTCAATTATTTTCCACCCTAAGCTTTGCATCTTACTTCCCTTCTGTCTCTGTGACTGTACACATTTCTTTGATTTTCTCCTTTCCTGGAATACTTTTCCTCCTAATCTCAGACAATTCAGCTTTTTAATGCTCAGCTAAGTCTGACTGCCTCTTAGTACTTCCTCTCAATACTTCAGTTCCCACTGATGTTTTCCTTCTCAGAAACTCTACATCACTTTATATTTTTATTTATTTATTGAGAGAGAACAAGAAAGAGAGAGAGTGGGAGGAGAGCAAGAAAGGGAGAGAGAGAGAGAATCTCAAGCTGGCTCTGCACTGTCAGCTCAGAGCTGGATGCGGTGCTCAATCTTACCAACTGTGAGACCATGACCTGAGCTGAAATCAAGAGTCAGCAGCTTAACAGACTGAGCCACCCAGGTGCTCCTCTACATCATTCATAATATGTACCACAAGGTAATAGTCCCTGAGTTTACTGTTTTGATATCTGTTTAATTGTTTTCTATATTCAAGCCTTATTTAGCCTAACCTTGTACTTGTAGATAGGAACTACACATATGTATATTTATATTTATACACATATATGTATATACACATACACATGTGTACACACATACAAAATTTTACATACCTTACCCAACTCTCCTTCTCTGCCTAGCCCATCCTAACCACACATCCACCCTCCCCACCCCTTCCCCACCATTTCCATGCATCCAGGCTTTCTCACATTCTTTGTCAAATCATCAAGGCTACCAGTCTAAACCAATGACAGTTTCTCCCCATCAGGCTTAATTTTCTTCCCTAATGAACCGAAAGCTCATAGTCCATCAATTTATTTATCTTGCAGACCTGACTTCAGTTTTCTTGCCACCTTATTCTTCCATTCCACTTTCTCTGCAAAACTCCATGAGGATCAGCACAAACATTTGATTCTTCCCTTCTACCCCATATAGGATTCTTACTTTATTCTCACTATAGTTCAGCAATTCTCCTATTTCCCAAAGGAACTAATCAGAATTTGACTTCTTTACTTAAAAGAAGACCCGACACACATGTTAATAAGAAAATTAAGAGCACTAAATAAGAATTTCCTCCCAAATACTCCCTTCTACCTGCCTCTACTCATCTTCCCTCTTCCTGATTTGATCAGTGTAAAAATATGTCTTCTCACCTGTGCGCAGCGACTCATCTGTTTTTACCTCTAGGGAACTACCACCCACTGCCGACACTATATCCTCAACTTTCCTGGCCTCTCCTTTTGGCATTGAAACTTGCTCAAATGCCCCATCTCTGAAAACCTTCAAAACACATCTTCTGTTGAAGTCCTCCATTCTGTTTCACACCAAGGATATTTGAGAGAATATACCTACACTTCTTTCTTTCATTTTTACCACTCACTTATTAACTATTGAATGTGGCTTTTGCCTCATCCATCGACTGCTTTAACAAGGTTACCAAAGGATTTCCATATTGTCAAAACCAAGGAAAATCTATTTTACATTTTTCTTACTCAGTATCTTGAAGTAGATAGCATGGTTGATTATTCTTCCTGAAAATTCTTTCTTTCTTCACATGCATGGTACCTGAATCTTCTGACTTCCTTCCTTGGATTCTGTTTCTCTTTATTGCCTTCCTGGATTCCACTAGACCTACCTCCCTTAGCTTTTGGTGTTTCCGTAGGACTCAGACACAGGTCCTTTGCCCTTATTGTTCTAAAACATAAGCTAACAGATATCTTCCATCACTACATCATAGAAATAATCAGAGTCATTAAAAGCCGTGGAAGTTTTCTGGTAGTTGCTGTCTTAAGATTTTTTAAACATTCTGTGATATTAAAACAAGACCACCAGTTTTAATTACAAAAGTTCCAATTCTCCAAACATAATAATGCCTTCAGCATCTCTAAATTATACAATAGAGAGGGGACTATGCATTAAACCCTTTAACCAGTTCCAATAAAGACCACACAATGCCTTCCAACTTTATTTTGAGGTAAAAAAATGTACACTATGAGAGAAAATTTCTTTCATTTTATAAATTTTACAACTTAAAAACAGAAGGAAACAAAGCAAATTTTAAAATGCTATCATTGTGAAGTTTTATCCCCATTAGAACCCACCTCTTTGACATTAAGTATTCACATTATTAACCTCCTCAACAGATATATTGGATAATTTCCCAATGCATATCTCCAAATCAACCTCCATCTCAGGAATCCTCTCACACTATTCTCCCCTTCTCCATATAAATTCTTTACTCCTTAACCAAATTACTTATCATTATCTGAATGCATCATGTTGTTCCATAACTCCAAGACTTATGTATGCTTTTTCTTTTATAATCCTTTTCATCTTAATCTTATTTCTGCAGTACATGGGTCACTTTCTCCCAGAAATACTTAAATAGCCTCTCTCATGTTCCCTTAACACTCAATTTACTTTTCTGCTTCCCGTATTTCCCCTCTAAATTGCTGAAGTCAAGAGCTATGTATGATTTACCATTATACTTTAGTACAATGCATTGCTAGTAGCAGGGGTTCAAATGCTTGCTGAATAAATACATAAATGAATCTGAGATGTCAGTGTGGTTCATAAGAGCCAGCAAGAGGGCTTTGTATGACACTTCTCCTTAAAACTCCCTTATAAAGGTGGCTAAGAACCTTCATAATCCACTTCCAGCTTCTGCACAAGACCCATTTCTACATTTTGCCTTTCAATGCTTTTACTTCTAGCCGTTCCAACTACTTGTAGTTCCCTGAGCAAGTAAGGTTTTCTGTCTTGTTCTGATCTTTCTGGCATCTCCTCTTCTCACTCTCTCTTCTTTACATGCTTATTTAATACTTACGCTGGAGTCTCAGCTCAGATAGCACTTCTGGCAAGCCTTCGTTTGCACCAAGACTAATTTGTGACCCTCCTCTCTCTGCCTCAGGCCCCTATGCTCATTCTTTACTTTGTAACTTTTGCCGATTGCTTCACTCATTGAAGTGAAGAACTTTACCTTATTCCTGTTGGATCTTCATCAGAGTAGCTGGCACATAAGTGACCAATGAATGACTAAAGTCTGCACTAATAACTACATCCTCAGGTGCTATTCTGGAGGTAGTGAACCTAATGACTGGCACAGGTGTTCAGCTAGAAAACTCTCCTCAAGCACTATACCTGGACATATAGAGAATTCCAGTAATGTTTGTCAGATGATACAGAAGAGGTATAAAGAAGCGCACAAGGGAAGAAAAGGTCTAGGAATTTGGGGACCACAAACCCTTTGACTTGAATGTAACTTCACCTCAAAGTCGCTCAACTATAGATCTTAGCCAGTGGCATGCAAGTATATATTAAAATACATACGGTATGGATTGCTGCTATTTTGATTGCAGATTCGACATTGGGGGTTCCTCACAGGCTGTCCAGGGACATGCTCTACCAATTTGCAATACATTTCAGGTCCTTTTTCTCCACATGTTGCATTTGTGGTGATGAGAGCATTAGAAGCAAGATTCAGGACAGCAGGGAATAAACCTGAAAAAGAAGAACAAGTGAAGGTGTGTCGTAGCAACATGGTATGATTTTACCACATTTTAAGATGAAATTAAGATAGGATATTTTTTCAGAGCAGTAAATTAACTGAAAATTAAATAATCAGTGATAATTGAACAACTGATTTAATTAACTACTCTACATAAATAGCATGTGTTCTCAAACGAGCATTTCTTTCTAAGTCTTAAATATAAAATCTAAAGCTATCTTCTTAATTTTTAACCTGTAAGTTTTAATTAGGAAGAAAGCCCTGTCTCTAACATACACTTAAAAAACAAAAATCTTCAGGGGTGCCTGGGTGGCTCAGTCAGTTAGGTGACCAACCTTTGATTTAGGCTCAGATCATGATCTCGCAGTACAAGGAAGGGTTCTAGCCCCACATCTGGCTCTGAACTGGACAGTGCAGAACTTGCGTGGGATTCTGTCTCCCTCTCTCTGCCCCCCCCTCGTCTCTTCTCTTCTCTTCTCTCTCTCTCTCTCTCTGTCTCTCTCTCAAAATAGTAAACTTAAAAATTCTTCTGTTCATGTTATTGGCAAAAGATCGTATTGAATCTTCCATCTTCCATTTCAGCTATTTTGTATGTAGCAGTAAACTATAATCACATATAAAGATCTTGCATAACTAAGCATTTATGTTTTTTGTGGTCATTTTATTCTCCAATTATTATGTAGCATTAAGTTGTTATTATAATTCCTTTTATCCAGACTGGAGAGAATAGCAAATGATGAAAGATTTTGGAAAACCAGTCTTCACTGCCTCTTGTGCTACAAAGCCATATTATATAGCAATATATTATCAGTAACAAGTAGTTATAATGGTCCATGATCATATACCAGCAATTATTTCTTAGATATGATAGAAGTTTAAGCTCGTTCAGGTAAAATCACAGAGACCCATGTCAGTGTACAGTTGGGAAGGCCTTTCATTCAATATGAACTCAGGTTTAACTTTCTAAAACCTAATGTCTATTTTCCTTCATATATATCTAGTATTTACATTTTATGTACACCATTTCAATAACAATATAGTAAAGCCATTTATCAGAATCCATTCTTTACCTGAAAAACTTAACTTGGAAAAAGTACATTTGAGATTACAGATATTTTAACCCAATTTATATAAGGAACATGCTAACCATCTAGGCGGTCTCTGCTCTATACACATGCAAAGTAGGTCAACATTAATTCAACCTCTGCTAGAAAGACCTTTATTAACTAAATGTTATGCCCCAATGTTTTACTGAGATCCCTAGAGTTTTGAGTTCATAGGTGTTTTCTTCCTTATCGTCAAAAATTAGTACATGCTAGGCAGAGTAAGCACTCAATATATTTGTAAAATGAATGAACTATACACATACTGGTCACATAAATGTTCTTTGCATCATCTTCATCTTCATCCTCATCCTCATCACCAGCATTACTGAATGTCTACAATGTTCCAGGCACTGTTCCGGCTTCATGGACTAATTTGCTACAAATGATACCCATACGAGCTGCATGCTACTACTGTTCTTATTTTATTAAGATGTCCAGTAACTTGCCCAGGATTACAGACAGCAAATAGCAGAACTGTGATTTGAGCTCAAGAAATCTGGCTCCAGGGTCTATCCTATTAATCACTATAGTGCTTGTTCTCTACAATGTCATATGGAACTCTACCTGAATCTAATGCTAATTTGTGGTCCTTGTTGACCTTAGAATGGCATTGAAAGAAGTAACAGGAAAGCAAATGGGAAAGATTTTTCAATAATTTTAATCTCTTTTGTAATCACTCTCAACCATTTCAAAGAGATAAGCTAATTCCTAAAACCAGGCAATGCCACAATTATAATCTCAGTCACTCTCAGGGTCTCCCAAAAATCTGCTTTCAAACTCTCTCTGTGTCTCTCTCCCCTCCCCTCTCCTCCCTCTCCACAACTCACCAGCCTCTAAAATCCCTCAGATTCTGCTGCTCTAATCTCGCCAATCGCCAGACTGCTGGCCATCTTGCCTTGCGCTTTTCTGATTTTTCCTTGTTTGCCAGAAAGTCAAAACTTACCATGGTGTATTCTAAATGGTTAAGTACACTGTATAGTTTAAGTAACTATATTATTTATTAACTTTTTTTGAGTCTTCCTTGTATATACAGGCTTATTGGAAACTACCTCAGTTTTTTGAGGTTTACCACATTACAAATTTTAAAATAATTTGATCATCCCTAAAACATTATCTCTCCACCTTAGACATTTTATTCTCCAAATTGTTAAATGATATATGATTAAATACATATGATACTATGCCAGATACCATAAAATTTTGAGAATAACATACTATTGAAATAGGCTTATTATGGAAGTGATCTTGAGCTGAATCTCAAAGGAGAAATGGAAGTTTATCTTGTAGAGAAAAGGGAAAAGCAAACTCACCAGGCAGAGGGAATAGCATACAAGTATGGACTTTTCCCAGAAAACTTATGAGAATATTGAGTGACTAACAGAGTAGCTGACTTTAGAATTGTTCTAGCCCATTAGATTATGTGATTATATAAGAATGGATACAGATACAGATACATAGATATAGATATGGATACAGATCTAGATACACAGATTACACACAGAGTATACATAATGGTTCACATATACATCAACACAAACCGTTGACTCCTTGTCACTGTTAGTAATTTGTTTCAGTGGCATTTTTTCCAGGTCTTTGTAATTTTAGTGTATAGTACAGAACAAAAGAGGTAATTAGAAGGAAAAGATATGCTATTTTCAGGAGGGCAAAACTCTACTTATCTTGCTGGGCTGCAGCAGGAGTTTAGGTAGGTAAGCCCGTTCTAAGCCCTCCAAACAGCGCCAGCGCACTTCCACAAAAGGCATCTCAGGCAGGGGCCAACATCTCCACACTATCAGTTTTGCTCTGTGATCTTTGTCTCCGGCTTCAACTCTGACTAGTTCTGATTTTGACCCTGCCCTTGAGTCTGTTTTGGAGATATGAATAAGACTCTCTACGCCCTGCTTTGGTGCATCCCGGTGTGGGACCTGTCATGAGTAGGCTCAACCTGCACTTTCTCAGGTCTGAGTAATCATGGAAGGGGTCCAGAAAGGAAAGATGGCTGGTGAAAACTCCTCTACTGTGTATTATATGGTCCAAAATATAGAATTGAATTACATCCCAGTATCTCTACAGAATTAAATGGATAAAATGGGAGCAGCATGACATGGCTATTAAAGAATTATAGGTCTAGACATAATACTGATTCAGAAGCTATTTCATATTCATTAATATGACTTAATTCCCCCAAACACCCCATTGTATAGACTTCATCAGTCTCAATTTACAAATGAAGAAAGGGCAGCTCAGAGAAAATAAGCAGTAAGTACAAAATTATGAATTAGTAAGACCAATAACTATGATTTGAACTCAGCTCTTTAACCCAGAAGACTTATTCTTATCAGGGTATGAAAAAGAGCCAAAACTTGGTCCTCAGCAAAGCTTATCAACTTAGATATTTAATAAAAGATATGACTTACCCAGTGCCACCCTTTTGTTGTTTCATAGAGTTTTCTACCCATAAACAAAAAAATTAATAAAATTTACATTTATTATCTTTCAGTTATTTCCATTGATTTGTTTCTGTTACACTTATTGATCAGGTGCTCAAAATTAACCTTTTCAATTTAATTTCATTGTTTCTTGGTCGGGAAACACTTGCCTTCTAAAATTTTATCAGCTATTTTGCTATTTATTTTTTTAATCAGTAAAGTGTATTGCTCAGAAAAGGTCTCCAATTAGTTGCTAACAACCAGTTTGAAGAGTCAGTCAATATCTGAGCTTTTATGGAGTCTTCAGCAGGTTGTATTATAGATTGCAGCCCATTTTCATTATATGTTAAATCTATTAAACTGTACCTATTTATTCCCACTCAAAAGCAGCAGGGTAATATTTATTGCCATATTCAATATGGGTTGCTTGGTTAAGATTATGTAAAGATTGTGAGTATAAATAAACTACAAATAGCTGGTGAGCCCTTATAGAGTATTGACTTACAGCCTCTTAATTCAATTTGAGGTCATGTAATGTTAATGACATAAAAGCCAGTCATCATTACCCATACAATTATGATTGACTTTTTTTTTCTGAATAGTATGTAGACTAAGTAAATTTAGCTGGATTTGTGGGATAACAGAATCTGAAAAAAAAAAACAGATAAAATTTATTCTCCCTATATATTTTTATTAGAGAGTAGAATATGATTACTATAAATAAAATAACCATATATTCTGTTATATAATGTGTACATTTAACAGTCTAGAAAAGGATAGTATATATTGAAAAACACCAATTTTTCAAAATATGACAAACACTTAAAAAATCTATCATATTTTCATTTGGATGGTTTTATACTATATTTGCTCATCCAAATACTATGGCATGTTTGCACGTGTTTGCATGTTTGTGATGATTTGCAATCCCAAAATCCCACATTCTGGCTTCAAAGGACAGAAGCATTTTTAAAACCTGCATATATAAGATCTACTTTTAATAATTGTGGGGTGGCTCCCAGTGAGCCAACCCCCTCACAGATAACAGGTATGAATTCTGAACAAAATATATTTTTTTACAATTCCAAATGCTTGAAAGCCATGGAAAACAACCCAAAACAGGTAAGCTGGGAGGGGTGTGTATGCTTAGAAAGGAGGAGGTACGGGATGTGTTTCAGAGTGCACAGGGCACTGTGGCTAAAGCTCAAATAGAATTCCAGTGTCTCTTGTCTGTTTGTCTTTTTCTAAACTATCTTGAAAAAGCAGAGACCAGATCTCTGAACAACCACAGCTGCTATGAAGTGAAGAAAAAGTACTGAGAAAAGAAAACACATAAAAGGAGCCTCAAAATATGTGTATAAACTCTTCTCAAATGTCTCACTGATGCCAGACCTGAATAGACCCAGGCAGATGCCAAGTATACTAACTGGGGCTAAAAGAACAACACAGATATCTACA